ACAACATAACAAAAAAGGAAAAGAAGGCGAGTGCGTGAATTAGTTTATTTGATATGAACACAAGCTTTTGAAGGATGCAATGAATTTCGTATTTCTAGCATCAAATATGAGCTTTATTTATTTATTTGCTAAGTTTAGTATAGAATTTTAAAGACTGCCAAGAATACCACATGGCTGTTATAATTTATACATATGCTATTCGGAAATACCATTCTATCAATAGAGACAAGCTTCTCTCGAACAAGGCATCCGCATTTTCTGGAAAAGAAAGACCTTTCTTGCCTGTTTTATTTCCCAAAACCCCATCTACACCCCTGTCTTTCTTCTTCCAGATTGATTCCTGAAGTTTTGATTCAGTTTCTTAATCAGAAATTGTATATATCTGATGTGGAAAACAAAGTAAAAAAAGATTGACCTGCATTTCTCGTAGATTTTATTCTCTTGCAGGAAGCATTTGAATTCAATGGATTCAAGAAAATCCAGGTAAAATGAGGCTGTATATTTAGTTTCTTATCATATTCTTCTTTATGTGGGCAAAATTACCAAAATATAGTCCTTAGATTAGTCAGAAAGGTGATGTTGGTGATTTTCTTTATAATTTTAGGTCTCCTTGGGATATATGAAAATGGGATACTGATTTGATATCAAAAATTTCGAAAGGTCCCAGATAGATTTTTATGACAAATTGATTGCAAAACTTTTTTGGGGTTCTTACATTTGAATAGGTAGGAAATGCTGATTGAATTGGTCAGAAATATTTGGAATTTCTGTGGAATCTGTGATGTCTTTCAATGAGGGACAGCTGGAAGAGAAGATTCGGGATGCACCAACAATAGATGAGCCTGCACAGAATTTTGTCACCTTCATTCACAGAGCCAAGCTGGCGGATATGTTCCAAAACATAACTTTAACGTGGGCCAAAAATATGATTAGCCACTCTCTTCATATCATGGTACAAAACCCTTACGCGGAAGATCATTACATGTGCAAAATTGATCTTAAAACATGGCAGTTTTGGGGGAAAAAAGGTCTGAAATCATTTCAAGTTGATGAGAAACGTGTTGATGTCTTCTGGGATATTAAGTCTGCAAAATTTAGCAGCAGCACTCTGGAACCAACCTCCGATTACTATGTAGCAATGGTTTCGGAAGAAGAGGTGGTTTTATTGCTAGGTGATCAGAAAAAGGAAGCATTCACGAGGACAAAATGCAGACCATCCTTACAAGATGCTGCCTTGGTGCATAAGAAAGAAATTGTGTTTGCCAAGAAATGTTTTTGCACCAAAACTACATTAGGACAGGGTAAGAGGGAGCACAACATCATCATTGAGTCTGCTTTTCCAGCCCTTGTGATCCCGAAATTTGGATTAGTATAGACGGGACTACATCAATTCGCATAACGAATTTGCATTGGAGATTTAGAGGCAATGAAACAATAATGGTGGATGATTTGCCTGTGCAAATTCTGTGGGACGTTCATGATTGGCTGTATAACGACCAGCATTCAGGAGCAGGCATGTTTATCTTCAAACAAGGTGCAGTTGAACATGAAAGTATTAATCTTGATGGTGAAGATTTAGCAAACCTGTCCTCCTCCATAGACTTCTGCCACTTTCTTTATGCTTGGAAAACTGAATGAGAAACTTCAGGTCTAGAAATTTCAGTACCATTTTATTAGCCTTTTCTGTATTACTTGGGAACGATGTCTAATATCAGTTTAGCACATGTATAATGCCACTGTGTTTATTTATATAATAGTATTTCATTGTTTAGCTTGGATCTCGAATAGTATTCTCTTCTATTGCTTTCAATACCTGTCGCCAGATATAGATGGTTCTGAGAATATTTGTTTGCATAACAAGAAGAGCTAAGTACTATTCCTAATTTACCTCATTCTTTCATCGAGTTGGACACTTTTTATGCTAGCTTCTGTTTGTGCTTGTTCTGAGCTCTTATCTGTGACATTGACTCTAATATTGTGTTGCGTTATTGTATTGCTGTAACATGAGCCAGCAGGGCAAAATTATTATTCATGCTCACCTGCCATTTCTTTAAATTGCACTATTTAATGACTTGCATATTATTCTACTCTGGTTGCTCAGATTTACTTGAATACATCCTCTTTTAATCCACTAACTAATACACTCAATAAAATCATTAATAATAAATACAGTGCACCTCTGTTTCAGTTTAATTAAACTATGCTGTTACACTGAAATTCTGTAATATCTACCGCCTCTTCTTGAAACCTTAATCAAACTGAATCATCAGAGAATGCAAAAGAGCAGCTAGAACATCCTTGATTTGCCATAGTGTTATTAGAGGGTGATTTTTGATGGCCTGATAAACCTCCCTTCAAAAGGTCATCAGAGTCTGACCTTACAGGATCCAAATTTCGAATTTCTTTTAGCATGGCTACTACATCCTTCATCATAGGGCGATTATTGGCACATTTGTTGACGCAGAGAAATGAAACAGCTAAAGTTTGGAGCATTTCGTGTATCTGAGAGTCGGCCCTTCCCCGCAACCTTAGATCTAGGACATCTACCGGATTGTTCTTGCTGCGTAAGTGGTCAGAAACCCATTGAACCAAGTGTGCACCCCCCGGCAATGTTGGGTCTAATGGATGTCTTCCTGTCAGGACCTCTAAGATAATCACACCAAAGCTGTATACGTCACTCTTCTCAGTTACGTTTTGTGTCGAAGCATGTTCTGTAGAAAAGGATAACAAACTTAATCAATTCCTTGAATTAATCAAAATTATAAAAAGTGAGGAATCTAAGTGAGAATGAATTATACCAGGAGCCATGTATCCATAAGAACCAGCCAATTGAGGCCTTTGACTCTGTTTTGAAGCATCAGTATTATCAGCAGCACCGTTGATGGACCTTGCCAAGCCAAAATCGGCAAGATAAGGCTCCATGTGAGAGCCTAATAACACGTTCATGGCTTTAACATCCCCGTGCATAATTGGGGGAACGCAATCATGATGCAAGTATGCCAGTGCATGTGCAATGCCTAGGATGACATCGTATCTCGTCTCCCATTCTGTTCTGCCCTTACCAGCACCATGAAGAAGCGAGCTCAAGCTCCCATTAGGAAGATAGTCATAGAACAACAGTTTCAGAGTCTGATTAGAACCCCAACCTAACAGGCGGACAATATTCTTGTGTCGAATTGAACCAAGAGTCTGAATTTCGGAACTGAACGCTCCTGATTCTTGTGATGACCACATCTTTTTGACAGCCAGGGTCTCCCCATGAGGAACTGTCACCCTATACACAACTCCAGAGCTTCCAGTGCCAACGACATTAGATGATGTGAGATTGCGAACTATGTCATCAACGGAGAACTCCATCTTCTGATAAAATGTCAATTCCCATGTGTCAACTTCTGTGGATCCTCCTTTTGCCATGCGGGTTCTAACTAACAAGTAAATTGCCAGAAGCACGAGGACTGCACTGGCACTCACTAGGATTGACATGGCTAGCTTCATGGTGGATTTGGCATGCCCGGGAGGGTCCATTCTGTTAGCTGGAATGGCTTCACCAGAGATGTATAGACCTCGATTTCCAATGAGGTCATTCAAAGGCAATTTGTGGAAGAATGGGGTATTTGGCAATTCACCAGAGAGCTGATTGAATGACACATTTAAGGAGACGAGGTTTTCAAGGTTTTTGAGAACGTCTAGCTTCCCAGAAAGCTTGTTGTGGGAAAGGTCTAGGGTCCCTAGTTTGCCTAGAAGTGAAAACTCTGTTGGGATTGGACCAGTTAACTGATTACAACTGAGGTTTAAAGATATTTCAAGTGATGGAAGTTGCCCAAATTCTTTAGGTATATCACCTGAGAAACCATTGTCTCCAAGATCTAGCAATTGTAGCTTACTGCAGGACAGGATCTCTGATGGAATTCTACCGGAAAATTGATTCTTCCCAAGATTAAGTTTGGTTAATTCGGTTAGTAAACCAATTCTCGGAGTCAATTGACCCGTAAGCCTGTTATCCGAAATGTCCATTAATTGTAAGCTTCTGGGCAGAGTACCGGGCACAGTGCCTGTGAGTGCATTTGAGTGAAGATCAAGAAACTCGAGGTTTCCACATCCAGAAATTGAGGGCGGAATGCCTCCCACAAAGTGATTGCTGCTCATATCGAGGAAATTTAAATTCTTCAACCTTCCAATTTCTGATGGAATAGTACCCCCCAACCTATTGTCGCTTACCCGGAATCTATACAAGTTTGTACAATCTCCAATATCCGGCGGTATAAATCCAGACAATTCATTAGAAATCAGCAGAAATTTTGTCAAATTTTTTAATGTAAAAATCTGTGGCGGCAATGAACCGGAGAGATCATTGTAAGAAAAATCAAGAGCCTGAAGATTCTTACATGCAGATAAAGACTCTGGAATACTGCCAGTTAAGTTATTTTTCCAGGCAAAAAACAGTGTCAAACTATTTAATTTGCCTGCGAGAACAGGAATTTCGCCCGAAATGTGATTGTTGTCAACTTCCAAATGAGTCAGAGCTGTGCAATTAGAAATTTCAGAAGGTATGGTACCTGATAATTGATTGACACTTAGCTGCAGTTCCTGAAGTTTGAAAAGGCTTCCCAAACTTGTTGGTATACTGCCTGTCAATAGATTTTCTGATAATTCTATGACTGTTAGATCACTGCAGCTTCCAACCTCGTACGGGATGGTACCAACTATGCTGTTCTGCCACAAAAACAGACTCTGAAGCTTTTTCAGTTCGCCTATTCGTTGTGGGATTGAGCCAGAAATGGAATTCTGGTACAAGTAGAGATTCTGCAATTCAGTGCAATTGCATATCTCATCTGGAATTGGACCTGAAAGCAAAGATGTATAAATCGCTATCATCTGAAGCTTTTTCAGCATCCCAATAGACGATGGCAGGCTCCCGGAGATGCTGGTTTCAGCTAGGCCTAGCACTAACAAATTTGTGCAGTTTCCAATCTCTGAAGGCAATTCACCCTTCAGATTTTGATTTCCTCCAGCTCTAAATACCTGTAGATTGCCCAATTGTCCTACGCTCTTTGGGATTTCGCCACTAAGTTGATTGTCAAAGAGTGTAAGATGCTTGAGATTGGAGAGATTTCCAATGTCCAAAGGTATATCACCCTTGAGGAAATTCGTATCCAGAGATAACATTTGAAGCTTGGTTAGCCTGCAAATTTCGGCCGGTATCTCACCAGAGATAGAGTTATCACTTATATCAATCATAACCAGCTCAAGATAGTCTCCAAACTCTTTCGGGATTGGCCCTGTGAGATTTGTTGATGAGAGAACAAGCGTATTCAACGACTTAAGTGGTTGAAAATTCGAAGGTAATGAACCTTGCAACTCTACTGACTTCAAGATTATCTTTTCCACTTGACCATTCGTGTTGCAGTGTATCCCGAACCAATTGCAAGGACTTCGGTCCGAAGCATTCCAAGATTGAAATGCATTCATATTCATCGAAAAGTTTAAGCCGTTCTTCCATGTTAAAAGAGCTTCCCCCTGTACATCAATGGAATAGCAAGTTGAAAGGAAAACAGAATTTATGAAAATATATAAGATGAAGAAGAATATATTCGGAAAAGGAAAGGGAAATCTTAAGTGTGCAGGCATTGCTGCAGCAAGCAAAGAACAGTTTTTGGGATTGTTGAGGGGGGAACCCCATGTTTTGTTTATAGAGTAAAAGCAGAAGATCTGGATCCAATAACACTTCGATTTTTCTATTATTATTGTATTTGGATTGACTGTTAAGAGAAGATGGCTTCTTTTGGTTTTATTTAGACATTAATTAAACTAAACTAAATACTTATGGATTATTTGTTTCTGCTGTCAATGGACGTACAGGTTGGTTTTTGGCTTTTTGCTTTTACAATGAAATGTGCATTTGTTCATTTCTTTACAAATCTTCTGAAGTTTTCTTGGGGTGGGGTGGGGTGTATCTTTCAGCAGCAATTGCTTCTTTCCTCTTTTTATTCTACAAGAATTTATTTCTCCTTTCCACCTTTTATTTTTGTTATTGTAATTGCATAGTGTCTAAAAGTAAAGGAAGTTGGTGACTTAATAACAGAGAATTCGGCGGCCGTAACTATAATGCTCCTTTACTGTGGGATCATTGTATATTTTCTTCTGATTTTTCTCTTCGTGCTATAGTTTGAATGATTACATTTTAATAATTGCACTGTATAATTTTGTTTATTGGGTTCTGACATAATATTAAATCTGATAGTGTAGTTGGGACTTCTTTATATAAATTAATTGTTGTAATGTTATGTCATGGGGAAATGATTGAGGGAAGTTTTTACCATATGAAGTAAAATGGATGTTATTACTTCCCAACTGCATAAGCCAGATCATTCCATTAAACCCCATCTACAAGACAACGCTACTCTATTGATCAAATGGACCAAAAGCAACTACCAATTCATAGTACCGACTTTTGTGACATTAATTCGATACGATTAAACTTGACAACTTACAAATATATATTTCGACTCGTGCTTTGATGATATGTTTAGTATATTAAATTGTATAATACAAAGGGTCCGTCCGACAAAATTTCTACTTTTGTTCTTCTATTTGTAGAAAAATTTCTTGGGAAAGCTAACTTAGAGTATTTTTGGCATTGCATTTGAAAAATCAAAATGTGATTACGAGAGTAGGAAGTTGTTTTTAAACATATTTGGATAATTTCTAAAATTTTTTTATTAGGATAGAAGAATTTTTAAAAGAAGTTGATATAAAGTAGTTTATTTGAAA